TATGAACGTGAATATGAATATTCTCAAATACCGAATGCGTATCAAATATTACTCGGATGCGGAAATAATATCATTGTTTACTTGATTCGGAGTGGATATGAATAATAGTGACATATTAGTTCAAGGAAATAAGAGAATAACTAGATCACACAAAATAATCAGCATGCAACATATAATAAATCAATCATATAGACAAGTTTATGAATAAATACTACAAAAATGCATAGTAATTACTAAGTTTAATTATACAAAAAATTGGACAGCTTATTAGGCTTTTATGTTGGATATTTGGCATATTTGGCATGTTGGATATATATGTATGGAGGGGGTACGATTTATTCTTCTTCAACTATTTTGATAGTGGTTAGCTTGGACAACTTGCTATTGTGTGCCCAACTAATACAATGGTTGATATTAATGAGGCTGTCTACAAGCGTGTTCATAGTTATTCCACAGCGTTTTCTTAGTTGTGATACTATATGAAAGGGTGCTCATCCGAAAAAAAGGTACTGACTATGTTGGCATTGCTGATCTGTCATTTCGTCCCTGGTTTCTGCATTCTATAATCATTGATAATTTTCCATGGGATTAAATTAGTTTGAAGATTGGTTTGCCTGTTAATACTTCTGACAAATAAGAATCGATCATTGAGACTCGGCAATTGTACATGTCTACTGATCACTAGGCTTGGTGAGAGGGTATTCGGTGTGGAGATGAGATTATTACCGGGGCTAATAAAGGTTGAATTACCTGAACTTTTATAAATGCGCAAACTCTTAACTGGCTATTCACATAGTGCGGCTGCCAATTTCCTGTCCATTCGTGATGTAGTATGACGATCAACAAAAGTCAGTGGCAAAGACTTATGAAAATATGTGTTTATGCCAATTTTCTCTTTTGAACAATTATATGTAGCAGTTTCATGATCATTGAGTTCCGACCAATGTAACAATGGACATCCTATCCAAGAAGGGTATCGGTTTGCTGTGTTTCTCCGTCAGGTGATCGACTGGGTGTTCCCCTTGGTCTATAGGTGGCATTTTTTCCGCCTTCTCTGTAATGTGTTTTCTCTCGTTGTGTCCCGTTGGTTAACTGCTTTCTTTACCCGTTGCAGGAGAGAGCAATGTGAAGGCGTTGTGGATTTAATGACCCCGCTTTGCTTTTGTTTTAGAACTTTGTGGTTGCTTGAAGTTTATAGCTTACTTCTGCACCGTTAAGCTATAATTCAGACGACAAACAACGGGTTCAGATATGGGTGCGGCTGGTTCGCCCATGCTTTTCTGAAAGAAAAAGTGCAAAGGAAGAGTTTCCACTTTTCTCAGTATGTGACAATCGGCGCGAAAGCTCCACTCGTGAGCCGTGACAAACTATACGAGCGGATAGTAAAAAATAGAAGAGCTAAAACTAGAGAGATCTCTATTACGTCTATTAGTCGCTCGTAAAATAAAGTTAGTCATGCTCTTCCTGCTTATGGTAGAAGTACCCCTCCGTAGTACCGTATGGCTGGGTTCGGTTATGCTCAACATTGTAAACTTGGTTCTGGCTGATTTGCCTCCTTGAGTAATAGAAATTTCACTTTTTCTTGCAAAAAAAAAGAGGTGGCTCAATATTTTTTTATTGTTCCCAAGTAAAAAGAGAGAGAGAGAGAGAGAGAGAGAGAGAGAGAGAGAGAGATTTTTGACTGTTGGCCCTCCGTCCGTGAATAAGGGTACATCTAGATTTTGTTCTAAGTTAAAGTTTTAAAACTTTGACCAATTTTATAGAAAAAAGTGACAACATTTATGACACTAAATTAGTATAACTAGATTCGTTTTGAAATGTAGTTTTATAATGTACCAATTCGATGTTATATGTGCTACTATTCTTTTATATAAAATTGGTCAAAATTTTAAAATTTTGACTTAGGACAAAAGCTATATGTACACTTATTCATGGACAGAGAGAGTGCTGGCTAATCCTTTGCACTACCCTTTTTACATCGTTGGATGCTCGCAGCCCTAGGATGGCGACGGCAGATGATTCCACCCGCCACCAACCCAGTTCTTCATCCAAAAAATCTCAAAGAAAAAAGGGAAACCTTTTCCCGACCAAACCAATTCTCCATCTCCGAGTAAACTACATACATGTATCGGCTGCCTCGCATTGAGAACCGATTGGTACATTAAAATTGATTCATTGATTTCCTATATGTATGTATACATGATGTTACGCGTACACTGCTACTGCTAACTATACCTCGCTACGTACGATTTCCCCGGTGGTATAAACTGCTTTTACATAGTGAAGAAGAAAATTCAGAGGGACAGAGGGCCATGGCGACGGCTCGGGAGGCCGGCACCGGCAAGGGCGGCAGGCGCGAGCTGAAGTTCCTGTACATGTAGGTCGCATCCTCTGCTTCCGCGCCGTCGTCGAAGTTGAGCGCGTAGCTGAGCGGGTCGTACCTGAACTCCCCCGCGGCCACCACGCGTCGCCTCCACCTGGCCCTTCCGCCACTATGCGGCCTCTCCCCACGGCTGCCGGGTGACGATGGCGAGCCGAAGCAGCCGCACACGGCGGTCCGCAGCTTGTGGCGCACCGCCGGCGGCGAGTATGGCGAAGTGGACTCCATAGCGTCCATGGAGTCTGCCTTGATGCTACTGTGCTTCAGCCGGTAGAAGCTAGGGATGGATGTGGGTTGTCAGAGTTGTGGGGTGTGTCACAGTGTGCCCTGCTGCTGGAGGGGACACTGTATGGTATAAGCCAAAAATTGAAGTAAAAAGCACATATTCAGAAGGGTTTTGGTTTTTCTGCCTAAGTGAAAAGCTGCAAAAGCAGAAATAAAAGCTCAAACAGACAGAGCTTGTCCAGCCCAAGCGTGGTTTGCTTCCGAGCTCTCTCTGAGAGTAAAATAACGAGATCGGTACTATTCTCAGAGCGCGGCTTTGTCGTCGCTCCTCATCTGCCAAATCGGCAAATCGCAGAACAATCCAAACTTGGCTCGATCCTTTCCACTCTCGCTATCCTCGAAACGAACCGGAGAGCACACGGAATCCCACATGGTCGCCGGGCCTCTCTAAGAACATGGTTAATAATACAACCAACGGTCGGCTATAAGAATTTGTCATGTCATTTATAGCCAACCTCTTAGCTGGCATATACAATAGTAAGTTTTAAATATGTACTAGTTTATCAATAGTTGGCCCACCTTACATCCTCATAAAGTGTCTTGAGTCTCGTGTTGCAGCTGGCAGTGGCGGAGCCAAAAATTTTGTGGAGCCTGGGCAAGTTGAGCACAAGTGTATAATCTGAAAATCTAAAACCGGGTATTTAAATACACAACATATAATACAACACAAAACTTTTGAACCACAAATCCTCATTAAAAATGAAATGAAAACATAAACGTAATAGTCTAACAAAATAAAGTTCAATAGAGTAAATAAAGATGAGACTTGAAAACAGAGGCAAACTCGCCATGTTTCCAACAAAAGTAAAGTTGTCCATACCAATTGTCATTGTGCAATTTCTTTCACCATGATCAAAAGCATCTCTGATTTGTTCATTTTTGTCACAAGAAAAACATATAATCATCTTTGCATAAAGGTGAACTCGCCATGTTGCCAAAGTCCTAAAAGACACTACAAGATAAAAGAATGAATTTGTAACTGAAATTAATTTAGTTGTGGGATGTGAATATATTCAAAATAGTAAGTTTGCAAGAATAGAGATGGTCAGATGGAACATACCAATAGTGCGCTAAAGAAAATTACGAGGCAAATGCCCTTTCCGAGACTTCATTGCAGTAAATGTTTGAACATCCTTATCATCAACTGATTTGAATAACTCCCACTTGGTGTAGCAGCATATCATCAAGTCATTGAACCATTCATTATTGGTTCTCCTCTCTCTCCTCTTCTCTCTCTTTCAACTAAGCAAAAATATACTCCCTCCGTCCGAAAAAACTTGTCATCAAAATTGATAAAAATGGATGTATTTAAAACTAAAATACATCTAGATACATCCCCGTTTATCCATTTTGATGACAAGTATTTTTCGGACGGAGGTAGTATTATTCTATTTCTTATAGTCAGCTTATCTCATCCTATTGTACTTGCTCTAACCCAATTCCCCACATGTCACGCATATTTATTGTAGTGTTAGGCCAGTCCGATACTAGTATGTGTCCATATGTAGCTGTCGATTGTTTTTTGAGAACATAAAGTGGATCCAAGCAGTCCATATGTAGCTGCCTGGGCTCGTTTCAGTGGAACCGAGGCCCTCCCCTGTTTTCCTGACAGAATAGAAAGAAAGAAAAAAAGAAAGAAAGAAAGAAAGTGCAGAGGAAGATTTTTCTTGGTATGTGACAATCGGCGCGAAAGCTCCACTCGTGAGAGCTGACAAGCTACACGAGCGGATAAGCCAGTGGAGCTGGCTCTTCAAGATTTTTCTTCCCGCGTGTGTGCGGTCGATTCGAGTTTTTTTTTACTGTTCGCTACTCGCAAATCCTTTGCAGCACCCTTTCACCCACGTACAGTAGTACGTACTCCCTCTGTAAACTAATATAAGAGCGTTTAGAACACTACTTTAGTAATCTAAACGCTCTTATATTAGTTTACGGAGGGAGTACATCGTTGGATACGCGCAGCCCACACGGTGGATGGCGACGGCAGATGATTCCATTTCCACCCACCACCAACCCGGCCAAGGTTTAACTTCCTTCACAGTTCATCATCCAAAAGAAAAGGAAGCCTTTTCCCGATCAAACCAATTCTTCATCTTGCATTGAGAACCGACGGAACATTAAAATTGGTTGATCGATTCCTATTATCCTATATGTATACAGTATACAATGATGCTACTGGTACACTGCCGCTACATCGCTGCGATTTGCACGGCCGTATAAAATGCTTTCACAGAGTTAATACAGTTTCACTTGGAGAAGAAGAAGAATCAGAGAGACAGAAAGGTACAGAAGCAGCAAAGGACGGCCGACAGCTACTTGTACGATTCGATTGGCGACTTCAGGCGATGGCGACGGCTCGGGAGGCCGGCGCCGGCGCCGGCGAGGGCGGCAGGCGCGAGTTGAAGTTCCGGTACGGGAAGGCCGCGTCCTCTGCTTCCGCGCCGTCATCACTGCCGCTGGCGCCGTCGTCGAAGTTGAGCGCGTAGCTGAGCGGGTCGTACCTGAACTCCCCCGCGGCCGCCACGCGCCTCCTCCACCTGGCCCTGCCGCTGTTTTGTGGCCTCTCCCCGCCGCTACCCTGCGACGACGGCGAGCCGAAGCAGCCGCACACGGTGGTCCGCAGCTTGTGGCGCAGTGACGGTGGCGAGTAGGACGAAGAGGACTCCACAGCGTCCATGGAGTCTGCCTCTGTCTTGGTGCTAGTGTGCTTCAGCTGGTAGAAGCTAGAGATGGATGTGGGTTGTCGATCGAGTTCTGGGGTGTGTGACGGTGTGCTCTGCTGCTGTAGAAGATAGGCGGAGGTTGGCAGGACTAAATAGGAAGAGTGGAAAAAAGACTGGACCAAGACAGGGGCCGGTGACGGCGTGAAGGGTAAGAGACGCGGGGAAGCAAGCAAGCAAAGCTATCGCCGTAGCGCACGCGTGCGGTTAGACGTGAGGGTGTTCTGGGGATTTCGCGGGGCTTCGCTGCCGTTGGGACGGGAGGGAGGAGGGCGATGGCAACGGTCGGTCTTCGTGCAAGCTGTCGCATTGCACAGAGAGAGAGACAGCTGACCGTGGCAACAACGGTAACAGTGGTAGCTTAGCTGCAAGTGCAGCTCAGACCTTCGTTCAGTGCACTTATACAGGCTTTGGTTCTCTTTTTGTTTACCATGATTGGCCGTTGTTGTCTTTCAAGTGTCAAACAGCTGGTACTCTTATTTTTTTTTCCTCGAAGAAGAAACACTTGGCACTTTTTGCTCTTTTAAAGGAGATCAACATCTGATCCTCACGCGGACGTACGCTATGCCTCCATTCACTTACTACATTCGCATCATACAGAAAAGAGCACGATAAAAAGCACTGACACGGCCGACCGAATAGGATGCCAAACCTCCCGGCCTGGTGAAAGTGTTTCGTTCGATCCACGTCAGCCTTTTATAATTCCTGTGACAGCGACGGCGACTCTGCTCGAGTGAGCGCTCGGTCAAAACGTGCAGCCCGCAGGAGAAGCAAACTATCCTGCCTCCATGCAAGCGCCGTTGGTTTGGTTTTGCTGGCACCCTCCACGTAGCCTGCAGAAGCAACCAACACAACACGGAACATCCCGTGCGTGTTCCACACGCCCAATGCACATACTCTTCCGTTCTGAAAAGTCAAACTTTACAAATTTTGACTAGATTTACAAAGAAACCTATTTGTATGTACAATATCAAATATATGCAATATGAATATATGGCTTGTGATGTATCTAAAGATATGTATTTCTTATTCTAGATGTATATGTTTTTCTT